GGAGATAGCATAACCAGTTCTTCTTCGGCATAAAACTATTGATAAACATATTCTACATTATAAGATAACTACCCACAAGACGAAGCTGAAGCATTTGTCACGATTCCTAGGTATAGAATCAAAGAAGGTGCCCTCAAACTTAAAGCCAAAACTATCATTCTATGAAGCAAAGAACATTCAAGTGAATAGGATTATCTCTTTTATTTGCACAAATAACCATGGCAATGCCACAAGCAATATGGATGCAATTCAAAGTATATACCACGAAATATATAATGAAAATGAAATATAGTAAACAGCATTACAAGTGTAATAGTGGAAAGACCTTTTGAACATTCATTAATTTATCGTAAAGCTCAACAACAAGGTCAATGTTAGCATTGGAGTTACGGTTCTTGACATTGGCGGCAACGGCTTCCTTGTTCTCCCTTATCCACTTAAAATCTATTGCTGCTTTCCATTGAGGCGCCTTTGCAACTGTAAATGGTCAAACCCCAACAACATTACATATCTATTATAAGAACCAAAACAATATACGTTCTTACGAACGAATGGATACCTCTGAAATCATCTGGGGTAGTGTCGGGAGCAATCGTTGTGGTTCCGGCAGCTGCATCCGCGGAAAGGGCTCTGACAAGAAGGAGCGAACGCCGGAGTGGGTTTTTGGTGGATTGAGAAATGGGTCTGAGAATGGAAATTGGGGAGAATTTAAGGGTACTGCTCAAACACAATTTCAGTCCCATGCTGACTGATTTTGCCTTCAATTTGACTCCCCTGCTTAGCCGATGATTAATTGGCAATTTAGAGGCTGAATTAGGCCCTATATGATTGGGCCACGGAAAGATTCAAGGGAAAAATTCAAAACTATATTAGGCGTATCCATTTTTTTAAAAATATATTTTTCTCTTTTTTCTTTTTAATCACACATTTTTTATTAAAATAATATTATAAGTAAATTAAAAAAATTTCCTTATTTTTCAACCATACATTTCCCATCAATTTACTATTCAAAAATGCATTTTTACATAAAAATATCTCCTAAACACCCTAGTATATACAATTCAATTTTCAGGTTCAAAGTTTAAAAAAATGCAAAACTCAAGTATTCATTACTTAATTAAAATATTTTATAAATTAAATGTGTTAATGTCACAATTTTGCAATTAATGGTCACAGATTATTTATCGATCACAAATCAAAAAACTTATAATTCACAATTTATTTATCGATTACAGATTAATGGTCACGGAGGCATATGTATAGGTCACAACATCTTTGTAATTAATGGTCACATATGTATAGGTGTCAATCACAGATTATTTATCAGTCAAAAATCAAAACACTTATAGCTCATAGTTTATTTGTTGGTCGTAGATTTT